ACAAACTACTGTGATGGATAGCTTAAAAGTTCCGAATTTTCCCACTCTGTGTAAAATGACACAGAGCACTGTGATTGGATGGATTTCAAGCCATCCAACCACAGTGCTCTGTGTCATTTTACACAGCGTGGGAAAGTTCTTTGGAATTTTCCCACGCTGTGTAAAATGACACAGAGCACTGTGATTGGATGGATTTCAAGCCATCCAATCACAGTGCTCTGTGTCATTTTACACAGCATGGGAAAGTTCTTTTCAATTTTCCCATGCTGTGTAAAATGTCAAAGAGCACTCTGATCTGTAGGTCCCGCCCCTCATTATCTTTATGGCCCCCACCCGCCGCCCAGGGGTGGGGACTGGAGGGGGGGTGGACAGTAGGTCCCCCCCATTATCAATATGGCCCCCACCCGCCGCGCAGGGGTGGGGGCCGGGGGGGGGCAGTAGGTCCCCCCCCTCATTATCAATATGGCCCCCACCCGCCGCACAGGGGTGGGGGCCGGGGGGGCAGTAGGTCCCCCCCCTCATTATCAATATGCGTGGCGGGTGGGGGCGAGGGGGACAATACTGTCCCTTATTTTTCATTTTAGGGCCCTCACCCACCGCTCAGGGGTGGGGGCCTGGGGGGACAATAGGTCCCCCCCTTATTATTAGGGCCGCAGGGGGGGACAATAGGTCCCCCCTTATTGTTATTAGGGCCCCCACCCACCGCTCAGGGGTGGGGGCCGGGGGGGGACAGTAGGTCCCCCCTCATTATCTTTATGGCCCCCACCCGCCGCCCAGGGGTGGGGAGCTGAGGGGGAAGAGTAGGTCTCAACAGTTATTGTCCCTGTGGGTTTTAAAATTCGCCTGCCCATTGAAGTCTATGGCGGTTCGTGAACATTTGCGGAAGTTCGCATTCGCCGTTCGTGAACCGAAAAATTCGCGTTCGCGACATCACTAGTGGCGACCTGGAACATCTTTTGCGACAAAGGGAGTGCTATTGGATCTATAGACTAAAGACCTTAGCACCCCTAGGCCTGAAAGAAGGGTTCACATATACTCCCTTCCTAAATCGGCTTTAAGTCTTCCCTGAGATGCTTAAGTCTGTCTCCATAATAAGAATCTTGCTTTTCTTTTCCTAACCAATTTATGAATTAATATATGTGTTAGATATAATGTTCACCTCTTTTCCTCGGACCATTTTGCATATAGGTATAAGTCCCTTGATTATTCCATTTGTCTTGTCTTATTAAACTCCTGGTATATGTATTTGATTTTTTTCCGTTTTTTTATTCATTTTTTCCACTAGTCTTTGATTACACTGTATATATGGAGCTCTATATGTGAGTTTTAATCCACTCTACTTATTATTTCTAACACTGTACTCCCTGAAAGCCTTTCATTATTAATGCCGGCTGTATGAACCTATAGTACCGCAAAGTGATATTCTCTGGCCGTATTGAGTATAAATGCCATACACTTACATGTATTCTTATTAAATATCCCTCTTATTATATATTCCTCTCTCATGGTTTTATTTCTCTTCATCATAATATTATTATACAGATTTCACTATGTATGGCGATGCCTATTTCTTGTAGATTTCTCAAGAAAAAACTGTACTGTTATCATTAGACGCAACTATTGGGAAGTATACCCTTAAAGTGTCACATTGGGTGTTGTATTTGTGTGGTAATTATATTATCACTTATATCTGTTATTTGTATTCGCAAATGAGATGATGTTTATTAGAGTATAGCTGGTAGTTTACAGTATATGATGCGTGTCTAGCCGAGGAGAATGGAACAACTACATCTACTGGGAGTTATCCCCACCCAATGTGGAACCCATGTGTAATGATTAAATCACCAAGTGCGGGGACGGATGTGACTCATGCATAACGTCAAAATTTATTCCCTCTGTACTCCTGACCTTTGATATAATATATACGGGCAGATGGTTTTGACATGAGCCCCGAGGCATATGGCGCATACATGAAGCAATTTGCAGTTGGTAGAACTACATATGACGGTGTTGAAATTAACACAAATTCGTGGGTGAGTACTTAGAAAGTAAGGAAGGGGGGTGAAAGGTGATGCAGGGGGCCAACTAATATTGTGTCTTTTAAATGCTAGTTGTGCGTCTTCCTAGAATGTCAACAGCCAATCAGGATTCGGCTGCTTAATCTGTTTCACCTGCACTCGCTTTTTCAATATTGCGTTCCACGCCTCGCTATGAATTTGTGTGCCACTGAAACTTCCGGTATCGCGTGGAACACACCATGCGTTCCAAATAGTGATCCAGAAGAGAGTTTTTCTAGTCCATAAGTGCAATGAAATACATAATAAAACAGAAAAAATATTTCAATAATAGATTAAATCAAAATAAAATAACACAAGCTCAATGCTAAATAGTACATATGACATGAAAGAAAATGTAGCGGAAACATTTTTTGACTAAATGGTTATAAATATTAAAATATTGAAAGTGAATCCATAACCAAATAGATCTTAGAACAGAATTATACCTAAAAAGTGATCATATAAAACACCATGTGGATGGGAAATATGTGGAAATGTAAAAATCTTAAACATGTAAAAGAGAATAAAGAAGAAACTGGATAAAAGAAGCAACTTTAAAAAGGTGGGGGAGGGAGACTCCAGAGGATAAGTGTGTGATAAGTAATACAGCCAAATTCTAAAATGTGGACTAAGAAATAATCATGGCCTAAAAAGTGAAACAAAATAAAATAATAATAATAAAAAATAATGATATAAAATTGTGATATGCACCCTGTTCTAAATTATTATGCAAATTATATTTTTCTCATTTACCTAAATAATTGATGTAAATAACAGTCAACATAATTCTCATGTTATCAACTATTAAGAGTACAATTCAAATTTTATTGAACAAACCTCCTAATGATAATAGTATTTTTTTTTAAACATAAAAAACTTACAATGCACTGTTCCAAATTATTAAGCACAGTAAGTTTCAAAACACTTTATAGGTTGTAAAGAACTGAAAATTGTCATTTGTTGTGTTTGCAGCATATTTACTGAAATCAAAAACTATTTCAATCAAACTTATAACAAGTTTAACTTTTTAAACATTTTAACAGGTCACGTTACATTTTAACATAGGACCCGATATTTGATAGCAGCTTCGCAAGTCTTGCATCCATCGAACTTGTGAGTTTTTGGACAGTTTCTACTTGAATTTGTTTGCAAGATGTCAGAATAGCCTCCCAGAGCTGCTGTTTGGCTGTAAACTGCCTCGCACTCTCATAGATCTTTTGCTTGAGGATGCTCAAAAGGTTCTCAATAGGATTGAGGTCAAGGGAGGATGGAGGCCACACCATGACTTTCTCTCCTTTTATCCCCATAGCAGCCATGCAGAGGTATTCTTTGCAGCGTGAGATGGTGCATTATCATGCATTAAGATGATTTTATTACGAATTGGGAAATGCTTTCCTATGGACTGTTTGAATGCGCATTCGCATTCCGCTCTACTCGGGATCCGGCGGTCGGAGGGGGAGGAGAGGTCACCAGCGCCGGATTAAGGTTTTAACCCCTTCACCGCCAAGGGAGGGGGGCTCCTAAGGATGCTATATTGTCAGGAAAACAAGTTTGTTTTCCTGACACTATAGTGATCCTTTAAAATCTCTGATTGTTCTAAAAAGCATTTCTCATCGGTACAATTCCTTTTTAATCTGGTGAATTGGCTTCTCTGAACACTAGAAAGCCAATTAGGATAATGACCATTTTTTATATCAATAAAAGAATTAGAATCAGTTGGCTTAAAATATGTCTTGATTTTAATTACAGAGTCCTCAGTATAGATTGTTACATCTAAAAAGTGAATCATGTTAAAATCAATTTGTGAAGTAAAGATTAAGGACTGATCATTATTGTTAATAAAGAATTAGAACTAAAAAATTCCTGTAATAAATCAATTGAACCTCTCCAGATGATTAAAATGTCATCTATGTATCTCCGCCAGAGTACCAAGTTTGCACCAAAAGGGTTGTTATTCCAAATATTTAATGTCTCCCAGTTATCCATAAAAATGTTGGCATAACTGGGAGGGAACTTGATACCCATGGAAGTACCTTTGACTTGTAAATAGAAATCGCCATTAAAAATGAAAAAATTGTGGTTAAAATTAACTTAAAGGACCACTCTAGGCACCCAGACCACTTCAGCTTAATGAAGTGGTCTGGGTGCCAGGTCCTTCTAGGGTTAACCCATTTTTTCATAATTATAGCAGTTTCAGAGAAACTGCTATAATTATGAATGGGTTAAGCCTTCCCCCTAATCCTCTAGTGGCTGTCTCATTCTAATCTAAAAAGAAAAATTATTTTAGTGTTTGATTAAATTTTGAATTTGGATTTTCCCTAAGTTTTATGTATGAACACTCGTTTCCAAGGAATTGGTATGATTCTTTTAAATAGTAGTGAGTGGGCATAATGACTGTTCCTCCCCCTCCTAATGACAATATCATCTCTGCCTTAAAGATTTTTTTAAATTTAGTTTTCCTTTCTAGTAAGATTAGAACAGTAAGTCACATTAAACAGCAGGCTCAAATTACAAGGCTAAATACTCCAGCGGGCCCACAAAAAATAGCGTTCTTTGCGGACGATGTGCTGCTGTTTCTCACACAATCAGAGATCATGTCCCTGTGGCTACAAATGCTACAAATGACACAAACATCCTCTAACAGACTCACGCATTGGGAGTCATACTGTAAATTACTTGGTCCCTGCCAGGTTAGCCAAGATATACCCCACATCTCCCTCTTGCTGGCGATGTAGCCAGCAGGAGGGCACCTTAAAACATATCTTTTGGGACTGCCCCAATCTGACACCATTCTGGGTGCAAATGAAAGCAAGGATCCACTCACTGACTCATTGAAAATGTAAAGAATTCACCAGGACATTAGGGGCAATTTTTTACAATTTATTAATTTCAAAGTTTGAAAACATATCATACATCAGACATGAAGATATCCTACAAGAAGAAATGTATACATTGGTTACAAAGTAGTGGCAGAAACACCATATTACATATACAATGAAACATTTGGCTGAAAATGTAGGGCACAGCTGGCTATTAAAGGTATAGTGCCTACTTGAATGGAAAATTTGTTTATGACTCCAGCCTCCGTTACCCCTCATTCAAATCCTGCGTAGACTGGTATCAACACTTATGAGTCGGTTACATGGTAGACTCTACATTGTTTGTCATGATTGTTTTTGTCATGTGCTGTTTTGTGGTCTACCCATCTCTACTCTTCTCATGTCCGAGAAATGGTTAAGTAAAAACAGTACACACAATAAACAGGATTCCATGGTACATGTAGGAATAACACAGTGAGAGTCATGTTTCATAAAGAACGAAACAAATCAAAATTAAAAATTATCCCTGACTTAGAGGTCATGTCAGAGTGCTCGGTACCAGCCTGTCCCTTCTCCCGCCGAGGGCCGTACAGTTATCTTGTTGGCTAAAGAAGGAAGGAAAGGGGGGAGGAGGGGTGTAAAAAGAGTTAACCAAAGAACCAAGTGGTTAGGTAGACAGTGTTGTAGAATTGTGTCTCATGAAGGTCACCCAAGGTTCCCATGTAGTGGCATATGAGGCCACTCTCACACCCTCTGTATCCATTCTCTAGGTGATGGGAGCATTGCAGCCTTCCACTTATCCGGAATTAGTAGATTAGCTGCGGTTAAGTGGAGAATCAAGGTTTTTGTTGGGTTTTGGGCAGCAGACAAGGGCTCAAGAGAAACAATAGGGTCTGTTGTAAGCTTATTCCAGTCACCACTTATTGCCACCACAGTTTCCAGTATGTTTGGATTTCAGGGCATAGCCACCATATGTGAGCTGAGGTACCTCCTGGTTGTTGACATCTCCAGCATTTATCTATAGTATTTGGAAACAGATTGTGAAGTTTGGCTGGAGAATAGTGCCACCTAGAGATTATCTTATAGTTACTGTCTTGTATGGAATTGCTGATTGAGGTCTTGTGTATGTTAAGAAAAATCATCTCCCATTCCTTAGCGGTGAGGGTAATGTTAAGTTCCTGCGTCCATGTGTTAGTAATGTGAGGTAATGTCAGCTTGATGTCATCCTGTAGTAGTTTATACATCATTGATAACTGTTTATGTTTCAGTATACATGTTTCACAGTATGTTTCAAATGTTGTGAAAGTTCTACCTCCAGATAGGAGCTTATCAGTAGTGCACAGGAAATGTGTTAATTTATGGTATCGATATGACTTAAGAGCAGAGTGTCTGTCTGTGGTTGTGAGTGTATCCAGAGGTTTGATATTGGCCCCATCTAAGACTGATGCCAATCTAAGGCAATGTGTTTTCTGCAGTGTGTGAATAAAGTCAAAAGCTTGACTACGTAGCTCAGGGGGAATAATGGATTGGAAGTTAGAGGTTTTAGAAGAGAGGGATGTGAGGAGAGGTTGAAAGCACCCCTTGTTTGTTTCCAAGTCTGCAGAGTGGGAGAGATTGTGGTATGGGACATGTGGCCCTCCAGTAGGAACTCATTATCAGAGTAGTGCCATGGAATTATGTGAAGTGGAGTTTTGAAGCAGGAACTCTCCAACAGTACCCACTGTGTCTGAGGGTCTGGGTTCGTCCATTCGTAAACCCTAGTAAGCATATTCGCTCTATAGTATTGGTAAAAGTTTGGCATGCCTAGCCCTCCCTGTGATTTAGCCCTCGTCAATATATCAAATGAGAGTCTCGGGTGACTATTAGCCCTCACAAATCTGGTAAATATTTGTCTAGTTTTGTTGAAGAAAGATTTGGGAATATGGATGGGAAGTGTCTATCAGGTATAGGAGTTTTGGGAGGACATTCATTTTCAGAATGTTTCTCATGCCCAGCCAGCTAAATTGTGGTTTGTGCCACACTGAGGGGCAAATTTTAACCCCTTGTCTAATATGTTTATTTCTCCACTCACGTCTTCTTTTCCCTGGAGTGTTCCAATCTCCTAGTGGGGCAAAACGATTTGTAATGTCTACTCTTTGTAATTTTGGGTAAAAGAATTGGGTTATTTCTTTCATTTTCTTGTTGTTGTGACCTTGATCTAAAAATGTATTGGAGTGATCATGATTGAGTTTCGTTTTTGGATTATATTACCTAGATTTATTCAGTTCTCTATTAGACCTATATGGGGTGTTGGAAAATCTCCTTTGGTTGCCTGTACTTGGTGATTGGTTAGTTTTTGGTGAAAGAGATTGCTCTTTCATTTCATGTAAGGATGCTCTATTAAAATAATATTGAATAATTGGATTAAAACCCCCATTAGCTCTTTATTGGGCATCTCAGTGATGGAATGGACATTATTTTCTTTGTCTCTTTTATCCCTATGATATTTTTTGTTTCCGCTATTTTCTCATCTATTCTATTTACTTTCTTTAAAACAATATTCTTTCTTTTTGAAATCTTTATTGACACAAATCACTTTCCAATTTTTCTAATTCCTTGGTCGTCTTTTAAATTATCTTTCAAATTCAACTATTTCCATTAGTATTATGGAGCATTTTTCCATTTTCATCTTCCTAACTGACCAGTCAGTACATTTGCTTCCTCTACTCTTCAGGATCCCAATCAAACTACTTACAATTAACCTACAAAAACATTACTAATTCCACTACATCTCTTTACTCAAAATTCCCTTCCCTTTGCAAGCAATATTTTACAGACATCGGCTCATTTCTGCACTACAAGTTCTCTTCACGAGTTTTCAAAGGCTTCCACATTCTATGGCATTCATTACCCTGTGCCATAACTCTCCCCTAGCCTCCAGTCCTTTAAGAAGTCACTGAAAACACACCACTTTAGGAGAGCCTACTTTCATTCTAGGTGATGCTTCTCTCATTACAATTGCCCTCCTCAGTTCAATTATTTCCATAGCCCAGTTTACTCTCGCCTCACACTGTTCAATTCTTCCACACACCACTTGTATGAACTGATTTTGGCCAAGACATCTTATTCATCAATCCTCACTCCCCTCTGACAAGTGGCTTTTCCGGCTAAGTTTCTTTACCTCTTCATAATTTTTGTAGTTAATTTGAGTAAAGCCTGCTTCACCTCTTGGCTTTGTTAGTATTCTATAATTACACGTTGCCAAAAAAAAAAACAATTCTAGAATTGTAAAGAGCTGCAAAATATGTAGGAGCTATATAACTGCCAATAATAAATATTCTGTATATAATGCGAAATGCATTAAGTTTATTCTGGACCTTTGAGAAAGCACTTCACATTCCGAATTCTCCACACTTGCTGTCTTTTATAAGTGTAGCACACCACTACTTAATTTTTTTTCCTGATGATGGGCAGTTGGACAATGGACAGCATTTTCAAATGAATAGGAATATGAAATCTTTTGTAAAAAAAAAAATGTAAAAAAAAAAAAAAAATCTATGAGCATAAGCCTGACACTGAATTGAGAGAAACAATCAGCAGAAATCAGTGGCAAGTGGTGAAGTTTAAAGATGGTGGGGCAATATCCCCCCTTACTTGTTGGGCTCTACCCACTTAACCCTATGAGATCACATGTTTTGTTCAAGATCAGTTGCATTTCCCATCACATCCCCCTAACAAACCTAAACGGAGAAATACTGGGTGAGATTTACCGCTGTGATGCTTCAAAAAAACAATTAAGCAATAGTGCTCTATTTTCCCACCACTGTGACTTTATAGAATTAGTACTGCTGAACTTGGTGAATTGCAGATTAACATACAGAGACCACAAGTATAAATAGGCCAAGGCATTTGGACCCAGTGAAACAGTAAAGATTTGGGACCGATGTTATGATGTAAGTTGACGTTCCTCTGGGAAATACAAAACGTGACATTTTAGAAGGTTTTTAATTTATTGAATATAAATACTTCACTTGCAGTTAATACAGTGAACACTACAATGGAATAAAGCAGTCACATTGGCTTCCAGACATTTTTGGTACCAGTCAGTGAAACTTTTTAAAGGACCACTATATGCACCCAGACCACTTCAGCTCAATGAAGTGGTCTGAGTGCCAGGTACATCTACCCTGCATTTGTAAACATGGCAGTTTCAGAGAAACTGCTAGGTTTACATTAGGGTTAATCCAGCCTTTAGTGGCTGTCTCATTGACAGCCGCTAGAGGCGTTTCCCACTGTGTGAAAAAAAAAAAAAAAAAATCACAGTGAGAAGATGCTGCCGTCCATAGGAAAGCATTGAGAAATGCTTTCCTAGGGACCGATTAAATGCGTGCGTGGCTCTTGCCGTGCATGCGCATTCGGCAGATGACATTGGAAGAGGGAGGAGGGTCCCCAGCACCGAGGGAGTCTGTCGCTGGAGAAAGGTAAGTGTTTAACCCCTCAACCCCTCTTGAGCCCAGCGGGAGGGGGATCCAAAGACCCTATAGTACCAGGAAAACTAGTTTGTTTTCCTGGCACTATAGTGGTCCTTTAAGCAATCAAAACACTAGGGCTTTTTTATGCAACTTGAGGGTAGGCACTTCCTTTTGGACTGTTGCATTAATTTTTATTTTTTTTATAAAAACATACATTTAGTATAGCATTTATGCAGCATTTTTTGTGTAAAATGTTCCAGCACTTAGCTGAAGGAGTTACAAACATGACTGGGTAACATAAACTTGGCTGTTAAAGTGTAATTATAGCATATTTCCATTGCTATAATACTCTTAAATGTTAAGGTTCTGCCCCTCCGACCCTTTTCACCTTTGTAGCGACTGTCTCCGCGCTGCCAATCTCAGGTAAGTGCGCATGTGTGGCAATATGTCAAGCTCCGCCAATCAAATGTCTCTGAGACCAGCTAATGGAGAAATCCACTTTTCACTATATTTCTGCTGTTGTATCTTTTGTGGCTATCAGTGTTACAGCTACTAGATTAATTTAAAACCTGCAATGTACACATTGCTAATCCCGCAGAATGCCAATGTTTTTAGTTACTGGCTTGAACAGGCAAGGAAGATAGCACCCAGACCACTTCATTGAGATAAAGCTGTCTGGGTGTCCATATTGTTCCTTTAATTGCCAATTTATATGAGGTGATTGGCAGCTACACCCGAAAGGGTAAACTGAACCATAGAAAACATACTTTTCAATCATCCACCACCAATTTTCAAGTAGTAATACTGAAAGAAAAGTCAATGAAGGAATTTATATGAAGAGTACTTGGATACAATAAACCTCTTTTATTCCAGCTGGAGTAGCGCTGCAAGAGATTTTTGTACAATAAATCCCCTTTTACCACGTAACAGATGTAACACGCACTAGGCTTGTATTATCTGTTCATTTCACTCTAGCACACACAAAATATTACATTTAGTTGTTTGCTGCAATTCACAGAAGAATCATTTAAAACAGTGATCAGGAAAATCAAAATTGCTCTATTTGGTTACTGTAAGTCAGAAAACCATGTCAAAGCGAGTCAGTATACTACAATGGTAATGTAAAGTAATGCAAGAACATTAATTCAAGTATATTGGGCTTTTTCCTGAGGTTTCACAAAATCATCCTGTTTATTTAAGTATTAAGCATACTATAATTTTGTTATAAGCAAATCAGCTTTTTTTGGAGTACTCTTTGCGTTCAGTTTGAAAGTCATTGTAACCCATTTACTATGCTATTAGAAAATAGAGGGGGGAAAAAAGAGGTACAGAGATATCTTAACTATTGTCCAAGAGCCTAGTTAAATCCGACACGTGACTTTGGCAGCTTGGAAACCCTGTTCAGAATGGTCCAATGTCAATTCTGTAATTCTGTGCAAAAATTACGTTATGTTAGCAACAGATGTAATGAATTTCTCCAGGTCTTGGAAGACTATCGTCTGGTGCTCGATTCAGGATAATTTTTTTTTTTTTTTTTTTTTTTAAGTATGTGGCTTTCCTTTTTGGACAGAGTAAAATGACCATTGAATATAAACAGGATCAGGTATATGGTTATGTGGTAGTTCAGTGTTTTGCCTATAATCAGAAATAACTAATGTAATTCTCAAGGATACCTAATGGCAGATTCATTCTCCAGCAGGCAGGAACACAATTTAGTAAAAAAAAATAAAAAAAATAACACAAACGCAAGCCATGGCTTGGAATCTTACATCATAGTTAAATGTATATATAGTGCATTGTTCACACCTGAAACGTACATAAAACAGAAAAAAGAACAAACAGAATAAACATGCCCACAAGTAGTTCACTTTACATTTTTTAATAAATTAATGTCATTCAAAATACAGTGCCAGAACATGATGCAGCTGAACATGCTAGTAGGGTTTGTCATGAAGCACCTGTGCTCATGTTAAATTGGCTGTGGTGCCCCTCTACTGCTAGTGGTTCCTGGGATAGATATTAATGCCGGAGCAGCACTAGGCATATGCTCTCTTGTGCAGAAGAGTGCCATGTAAATGTATTCCTGAACAGTTCTTTTCCCTTCCCCAGAAAAAAAAAGTAAAAAAAAAAAAAAAAAAAACTATAGTATATCAATACACAATCACACTACAGTAAATGCTTGTTAAGTTAACAAAAATGATACAGACCTGGTTATTCCACACTAAAACCTTGTTTTTACAAATGTTGTTAGGGAAAGAAAAAGTTATCAGCAGCAGTTTTTTGTATGAATGAACCTACACCATTGCATGACAAAAGGTGCTGGTTCTGTTTGTTTAATCCCATGGCTGCAAGATAGCAGTTAAGGGTTTAAAAAGCTCCACAGGGACCCGTACTATGAGGGGCTGGTAAATACTTGGGATGCCCTGTTCTGCCCGTAAGGGCGTAACAAGGCCCTCTTGGAAGACCTGTATTCTAAGACAGAAAGGTACAGGTTTATTGACAACAGATACACATGTGCCTTGCACAGCCTGACTGAGCCTGCAGTCATAGATTGACCTGTGTGTTATCAAAATGAAATACTAGTTTTCCTGCAGCAGGAAAGATTGGATTTAACACAAAAAGTAGAATAGGTTATAGATTACATGTTGAGGTGGGACTTTGGTGATAAATTACTTTTCAAAAATAAAACCTGCAGGTATACTGTGTTTTTCTCTACTACTTCCAAGTCAAGCTTGAACTGGTAATTAGTTGAAATCACACTTTTTTTTAATTCACTACATAGGCATCAAAACAAACGTTAGAGATAAATGCTCTGTTTGGAGAGGATATCACACAATGAAGAATCTTTAACTCAGCCTCTATGACAAGATATATGGTTGTACTGCCTTTTACAATGGATAGCATGTGGAGGTGGTAACCTGGAAGTTAATGAAAACTGGCAAGGTCTCATTTTACCAATCATACATATATGTATGTGTAGATTGGGTTTCACTGCACATTTGTACGTATAGTCCAACAGGATATCAAATTAGAAGTAGTTTTGAATAATGGAAGATTTTTTTTTTTTATACTTACAATAATATAAATAGCAGATGGGTAATTTACGCGTTTGCTTTTTAAAATCAAAAATGTTAACTTGGGAAAATAGAAGAAAAAAAAAAAAAAAAAAAAAAGAAATCACAGGGATACAATTATATTCTTTTGGTAAACCGGAACGCTAAGGCTAGCTGAATATACAGAGTTTTTGCTTTTCTCTTTCCATTAGCAGGTCAAATATTTCATATAATGGAAGCATATCTCCCTATATAAATGCATTAAAGGCTACAAATACGTTAAGTAGGACATAAAAATAAGGTCTGAAAGGTAAGCGGTGCAAACTTATTTTCCCATCCCATTTCCTTAACAGTATAGTTCTAATGAACTCTGGTTGAGGAACGGGGATCCATGCATACAGTCACTGGTATCTGCCCAACTATACAGGGGGTAACGTAACCATATCCCCATCCAGTTCAAACTCATCAGCTCCATCTGGTGAGAAAAGATGTGTGGGAGGTTTCCATGGGGACACTTCAAGACATGAAGGGTAGAGCTTTCCTACAGTGCACCGAAACTCTTTCCCCAAATCCCAAAGGACACGCTCGGAAATTTGCTGACGCAGAAACCACTGATCAAGGTCCATGTCATACTGGTAGATCGCATACTTGGCTTTTTCATGCATATGAGTCTCTCTGATAAAAACACACAAGGAATTGGATATGACAACTGCTCTGACACAAGGATCAGAGTAGCGCTTTGCAGGTACATTAGCGGCCATATACCATTCATTTTTATGCACATCGTACACTTCAACGGTTACGGAAGACCCATCCACAGTATTGGAGGGGAGCCTAATTCCAGAGTTGTTGCCAGTATGCAAGCCTCCGAGGTAAAATATTTTGTTTTCAAATGCAGCAGCAGAGGCAAAGCATCTACTGGTTTGCCTCATGGCCATTTCTACCCAGATACCAGACCTTGGAATGTAACAGTATGTTAAGTTGTATGCCATTACATATATGCAGTCATGGACCACTACAGCAACATTCCATTGCCATGCACATGGGAGAGGGCTCACCATAGTCCACTCATCCCTCTCACAGTCATATCTTTCTACAGTTCTTCGATTCAGTTCACCACCAACACTATCTCCTCCGATTGCATAGATGTAACCATCACACCATACCAAAGAAGGCTTCGCACGCACAGACAACATAGGGGTCTTTGGAACCCAAGTATTTTGCTGGGCATCAAACCAGTAAAAAGAATTCACAGTCCTGAAGGCAGCCTGAAGTTTACTTGGCTTGCTAGGATTGCTTTTGGAGTTCTTTAGAGGAACTTGCCCTCCAGCTATAAAAATATCATTGTCAGGTGTCACCACAGTACCAATTTTATGTAGCTCGGCAGGAGGATTACAAAGCTTATATACCTTTTCTGCCTGAGGACTGTAACAGATTGAGGAGTAATAACTCGGGTTTTCTGAAGCAGCTTCAATTATTATTATCATTTCCTCTTTAGTCATGCCAAGCCTTGGTTTAAAAAACTTTGGCATGGATTTGTAGAGTCCTTGCACCACCACCGACTTATCATTTGGTGGCAAGCCTTGAAACCACTCCCGCTGTATCACCTCTGAAAGGGCATCAATACGAAGGTGACTAAGAACGGTAGACAAATACTGAGAGCGTGACACAGTGTTGTAGTCTAGCCAGGACATTGCAGCTTCTCTGACAGTCTCTTCTTTTTCAACGTTTAAATTGTCACTACTCACAAGATCAATCAATAGCTCACTGGATAGTTGCATAAAAGCATCCTGGTGGTAGACTGTTGTAAACTTGTGCTCTACCATTCTTTTGGCGCTTTGCTTTAACTCTTCACAGCTGAACAGGTCAGCAAAACTCAGAAGACGCACACAGTTTTTGGCATTGATTTTTTTTATTAAATATTCTCTACAGAGCTGCAACACATGATCCACCTGCAATAAAAAAAAAATGGAAAAGAAAAATCAGTTGTAGTGATCCAACAAAAGTTCAAAGGTTTCTATTCAAATGTAGAAATACAATTTTTGGATAAAATTTGGATTTTAGGATTGAAAAATATTTAACATTTAGCCACTTTGATGCTAAGCCTCTACTGAGTATTATCAGTTGTCTTACTTCAGTGTGAAAAAAATTTGGCACTTTTTTGTTGTGTACAGGAAACAATATTCAGATATTTCCAAAAGGTACCCCTCTTCTCCCAAAAAATATAAAAATAAATATAGATGATTGTCTAAAAAAAATATATAACTCCTGGAGTAAAAATAAAACCGCAAAAGTGAAATGGTGTACTAAAATGCATGTCAAATAACAGCATTATTATTAGTAATAATATACTTTTTCTAGATCTCAACAAACATTTCAGAAATGTCATGAACCTGAAAACAATTTTGATTTTATTTATTATGTTGTAGGTTTTTTGTGGTTTTGTTTTCTCACCAGAAAAGAAGAGACTTATTTCAAATGTATTCATATTTGGTGTAATAGGCAGGAGATATACATTTAGTGATTATTTATAACACTACCCCAAAGTTGAGTTTCCTCAGAAATCACCAAGAGTCCTTGAAAGATAATAAAAACCTGATTTAACAAATAAAAACTTAATGTTGATCCTATGCAGCCATTTTGAACTGAGGACAGACAGTTGTTTGTCTTGACCCTGTGTATATTTATACATCACACATTTTACTTCTAAAAATAAAGAAATGCAATTTTCCTTTGCTTTTTCATAACTAAAATTTTCCATTTTCCTTATTAATTTTGTACACTACTTCTTAATTTTCCAGTTCTATCAAATATTTCTTTAAAACTGCCCTGCATATTCAGGGCAAGGTCTTACTATGGATTTATAAAAGTAATAACTCTTTTATGCATGACATTACCTTACCTTACATACCTTGGTAAAGGTACGCCGATATTGCACATTGTTGCCTAGTCTGTGATCTTTAATTGTTTCTAAGTTCCTCTTATTTTACATTAGTCCTTATTCACAGCCATTTACGGTGTAAATTGCTGGTGGGCTCCTTATCCCAAAATCCCAGAAAAATCCTTATCCCAGAATGTCATTTAACACTATTGCTCTGAAGGCTTGTTTATCAAAACAATACTTTGTAGAAAAGTATTATACTGTTCAATGTGTATTACCCAATATATATTTATTATTATATATATTATTAATTAAAAGTGAAAAAAATATTCTTTTAAAAATATTCTTATTTAAATAAGCTTCCGGCAAAGGAAAAATGCAATAAAGCATAGGAAGAACAGATAGAGACCTAACGTATATACTCGAGTATAAGTCGACACCCGTAATTTTACCCCCAAAAAACGTATTGACTCGAGTACAAGACTAGGGTGGGAAATGCAGCAGCTACTGGTAAATTTCTAAATAAAATTAGATCCCCAAAAAATTATATTAATTGAATATTTATTTACAGTGTGTGTATATAATGAATGCAGTGTGTGTGTGTCTGTGTGTGTGTGTATGAGTGCAGTGTGTGTGTGTGTGTATGTATGTGTAAGTGCAGTGTATGTGTGAGTGCAGTGTGTGTGTATGTGTGAGTGCAGTGTGTGTGTATGTGTGAGTGCAGTGTGTGTGTGTGTGTGTGTGAGTGTAGTGTGTGTGTGTGTAGTGTGTGTGTAGTGTGTGTGTGTGTGTGTGTGTGTGTGTGTGTGTGTGTGTGTAGTGTGTGTAGTGTGTGTAGTGTGTGTGCAGTGTGTGAGTGAAGTGTGTGTGTGTATGTAATGCAGAGGCTTGGAGGGAGGTGGGCATTTTTATTATTTTTTTAAATATTATTATATGGGAAATGCAGCAGCTACTGGTAACTTTCTAAATAAAATTAGATCCCCCAAAAATTATATTAATTGAATATTTATTTACAGTGTGTGTATATAATGAATGCAGCGTGTGTATGAATGCAGTGTGTGTATGTGTATGTGATGCAGAGCCTTGGTGGGGGTGGGCATTTTTTTTTTTAATATATTATTTTAACCCCTTAAGGACTGGACTGTTTTTGCGATGTTGTACATTTGCGACCAGGAATATTTTTACACTTTTGTGGTGTTTGTGTTTGGCTGTAATTTTCCGCTTTCTCATTTACTGTTCCCATACAAATTATATATTGTTTTTTTCAGGACAAAAGGGGGCTTTCTTTACATACCATTATTTATATAATCTCATGTATTTTAATTTAAAAAAAATACAAAAATCTGATGAAAAATTGAAAAAAATACATGTTTTTTGACTTTTACTTGAAAAATCTTTTACTCATCTACAAAAGCGAATGAAAAAAACTGCTAAATAGATTCAAAATTTTGTCCTGAGTTTAAAAATACCTAGTGTTTACGTGCTTTTTTGCTTTTTTTTGCATGTTATAGGGCTATAGGTACAAGTAGGATATTGCGGTTTCAAAACATACATTTTTAAAATTTATCAATAGTGACATTGTAACACTATTATCTGTCATAAATCTCTGAATAACACCCAACATGTACATATTTTTTTTAAAGTAGACAACCCAGGGTATTCAATATGGGGTATGTCCAGTCTTTTTTAGTAGCCACTTAGTCGAAAACACTGGCCAAAGTAAGCATTCATATTTGTTTGTGTGTGAAAAAAGTAAAAAAACTAAATTGAACGCTAATTTTGGCCAGTGTTTGTGACCAAGTGGTTACTAAAAAAGACTGGACATACCCCATTTGCAATACCTTGGGTTGTCTTCTTTTGCAAATGGTATGCCATCATGGGGGTAATTCTCATTCCTGGGCTACCATACGCTCTCAAAGGCAAGCGTAACCAACCTGGCCATTTTCAATGTAAAAATATTTGACCCATATATTTGACCTTGTAACTTTCAAAAATGCTATAAAACCTGTACCTGGGGGGTACTGTTTTACTCGAGAGACATCGCTGAACACAAATATTAGTGTTTAAAAACTGGAAAACGTATCACAACAATTATATCATCAGTAAAAGTGCTGTTTGTGTGTGAAAAATGCAAAAAAAGTAACTTTCACTGACAATATCATCGCTGTGATATGTTTTACTGTTTTGAATCACTAATATTTGTGTTCAGCGAAGTCTCCCGAGTAAAACAGTACCCCCCATGTACAGGTTTTAGGGTGTCGTAGAACGTTACAGGGTAAAATACAGTGCTAGCAAATTAAATTCTCTGGAATTTCGGCCTGGGTTGGCAGGCAGGTCCCTCAAATTGCAATCAATAAAATGACTGAATTATGTAAAAATATTACATAAATACGCACGTAGAATTTAAATATATATGCATATTTATATATTTGAAGTCTACGTGTATATTTATATAATTATTTATGTAATTTTGTATATAGACGTATGTATATTTCTTATTATTTTTATTTATTTTTATATACATAGATATATATACAAATTCATTCTAAGTGTATTTTGATATAAATATATATATATTAATTTTAAAATACAGTTAGAATAAAATTTCATATAGCTATATAATTTTTTTTTAATTTTTTATTATTATTTAAAAAAAATTTAATTTAATTTAAATTACTTATTATTTATATTTTATAATAATATATATATACAATATATATAGTTATTATATATATTATATATATACGTGTGTAATTTAATTATAAGTGTATTTTTATATTAATATAAGTACATATTAATATAAAAATACACTTAGTATGACATTATATATATATGATATATAGACATATATTATATAGATATAATATATGTCTATATATCATATATACACATATATAATTATTTTATTTTTTTTAATTAACACTAACTTTATTTTTTTTTTCTGATTTTACACTAGCAGGGAGACTGCCTGTCAGCACAGACAGTCCCCCTGCAGGCAGACACATGGACACCTATTGTGACCATGTGATCGCTGTGTTAAGCGATCACATGGCCACAGGGGTCCTAATCTGCCGTGGGGAGACTGTCTGGGCTGCAGGCAGTCTCCCCACAACCGGAGGAACACTGATCGCCGCCGGGGGAACGACGGCGATCAGGTAAGTACCCCCAGACCGTTAGGACGGTTCAGGACTGTCATCGGTCCTCAAGGCAAAAATGCCGATGACGGTCCTGAACCGTCCTCGGTCCTTAAGGGGTTAATTTTAATATTTTTATATATTTTTTTAAATATTATTTTAATTTTTTTTATATTATTTTAATATTTTTTTTTTAATATTTTCATTTTTATGATTGTTTTTTTGTCCCCCCTTCCTGCTTGATACATGGCCAGGGAGGGGGGCTCTCATTACCTGGTGGTCCAGTGAATGGGTTGTGTAGGAGGGGGCTGGCAGGAAGCGTTTACTTACCTTTCCTGCAGCTCTGGTCAGTTCCCCTGCCGCGCGGAGCGGCTCTCGCGAGACTTACAGTGGAGGAGAAGGGAGCTGACCGGACCGGAGGAGAGAGAAGGGAGCTAACAGGAGCTGCAGGAAAAGTAAGTTACAGCTCTCTGCCAGCCCCCCAACAGGACCGCCGGGCTTGTAATGAGCCCAGTGGTCCTGGTCTGTATTATGGCACTGTAAGTTGCCATAATATAGACACTCACTCGAGTAAAAGATGAGTGGGGGGTTTTCAGCACAAAAAATGTGCCGAAAAACTCGTCTTATACTTGAGTATATACAGTACTTCAAATATAGATTATAGAGTATTGCTCCAGACAGAACAGCTCTCAAAGAATCTGTTCCCAGTACTCTCCCATAATATCATTTCTTTGAATTTATTATTTTAATTCTCACCTCTACTTTGGCATAACAAGCTACACTATAAAATAGCAGATTAGTGCAAAGAGACCAAAAATAAGAAAAAAATATATGCAATAAAAAAACCTGAAAAAAAAAAAAAAAAAGTCTGTTTGCAATCTGGAAGTACAATCTCATTTTAATTTTGTCTTAAATTTGCCCTTATGAAAGTGTTGGGCAGGAGAGAATTACAGGTGAGTAAGGGCACGTCATCAGCTCAACTATAAATGCATTTACATACATGCACACATACATACACTGAGATCTGATAAAAATATTTACCTGCAAAAAGCATGCAGTCTCATATAGCTGTTCTACAGTGCTCTCATTTATTGCCAAATTACCCGTGTATGCATATGTTATAATGATCTGCAAAGAAGCGGCATCCACATTTCTCAAATGTACATGTGTTTGTTTGCTTTCACTCAGTCCACTCATAAACATCGCCCTGTGAAGAAAAGAAAATAGTCATCAGTTAAAACAAGATGAAAGACTGTTTAAGAACATGCATCAGTTTAGTAAAAAAAAAAAAATGTCATAAAAATAGACAAATTCCAAGCAGACAAAAACACACATAAAACTTGGTATAAGGATATTCCAGGCACCAACACAAAATGTGTGTTGTCTAGGTTTTGGTTAAAAAAAAATAAAAAAATCTTCATTTACATTTTTATTTTTTTTATTTTTAACCCCTTAAGGACCAAGCTTCTGGAATAAAATGGAATCATGACATGTCAGACGTCATGTGTCCTTAAGGGGTTAAAACAAATGAGTAATGCATTCTCCTTGTCCTGCTCACCTCCTCCATTGTAAAACACTAGCTGGTTACTGTACCTATTTCTTAATATCAAAGGTCCCACTCTCTGAGACACCTAACTGTTCACGGTTTCATCAAGGTTTCATCTGCGTTCTAGTTCAGCTAAGCGTCTTCCTAAGTAAAAGTTATAAACGATATGAAGTACCAGAAGCACTGTCTAAACAACCCTAAAGTGCAGGATTTAACACAAAAGTCAATTACAGAAAAGATCTACAATTCTGACCTAAGCAAATTAAGTTTATGGGTGTTCTAATGCACGCAAACGTACAGAGCAAGATAAACCCTTTATAGGTACTGGGGATACTGGTTGACTAGATGCCATACAGTGAATGGTAAATTGTTCTGTAACCAAGACTTCTCCAGAGTACGTTTTTAGAATGCGGCTAGCGCATGTCAGATGTTTGGACTTCTAATAAACTGTTACCTTTCCATCTATCTTACCAGGGGAAACGGGATTTGACATCAGTCAAAATTACATTTAATCCATATCATAATAATGTAGTGGTATCTAAATTAAGAAAACAGAAATTTACATATTGTAAATTGTCTTAACCATAGGAATAGTGGCAGTAGTTACTAGTGGTGTTTTAAAATGATTTCCTGGATGGACAGGAAGGACCTAAAATATGACAATTTCTGCAAATTAATATATCCCACCCTCAACTCCTGCTCCCATTACTAAAATAACCTAATCACTCTAGAATAAAAAACAACTATTAGCAAATGTACAACATTAATTGTAATGGAGGGAACCTATACTGCCACCAAACCTATCGAAAAGAATTTAAATATATATACGATCCAAGTACTTTTATTTACTTTATTAAACTTTTTATTAACTTATTAATTTAAAAAAATAAATAAAAAAAACAATGTTTACAGGCATTAGGGGGGACTGCTCAGGCAGGCCCCCTGTAGGCACTGCATTAGCTGGCTATTACAGCCATGTGACTGCAAGGACCCCGCAATCACATGGCCAGAGGTGGTAGAGGGGTGAGTGCCGGATCGGGCAGAAGGGGTCTGCAACCGCCGTTAGGGGAACGACTGGGACCCGGTGAGTACAAAAGACGGCGGGGACGTTCTATGCCGCCCACTGGCTTTTAAGACCGCCCGAAAAAGGAACGCCCGTTGTCCTTAAGTGATTAATGAACAAAACTATAATCCATCCCTTACAACATATAAAAACACAAATAACAAATGTACACAGTTAACATTTGGGTGCATGGATAGCCCCTTTAATAACAACACATTTATTAAACCCATTGATTGAGGGTAATGTGGATCTGAAAGCAGTGAAGGTGATGTGTTTAAGATGTTTATTTACATTAAATCATAGACCAATCTTATATATACTTAATTTAAAAAGCAAGAAACTAATTTAAAGCTGCACTAAACTTGATTGCCAGTAATTTCGACATACCTGAAATAAGAGCTGCATGTAGCAAGAACCATTTTATGACATGGAAATTCAGTGCCCTCAACGATTAATACTATGTCCGTCAGTAGCTGTTGTTCATAGAACAGTTTCAGCTGCTCCAGCAAAGAGACTGCATATTCAGTATTGATCTGCCTTTCGTCCTGGGATGACATGATTGCATTCCATTAACGTTACCTTGGTCCAGAAACAATATGCACACCGTATGGGAAAATAAAAAGTTCACTTCAACTAGTTTTTTTTTTTTTGTTTTTTTTAAATGTCCAAGTAGCAGCTCCTGGAGGTGAAAGAAGCACAATCAGCAGTAGTGTCTTAAAAAATTGACACAACAAAGTGCTTCAGAGGTCATGGTTAGCATTATGTCACTGTAAAGAGATTACACACACACACAAAAAAAAAAGAAGAAAAAAAAAAAAAAAAAAAAAAAAAAAAGAAGAAATACAGTGCCAATTCTTGGGGAAAGTTCGAAAGACACAGCTGGTTTTGTCAGATACCAAACATGGCTGTGCATTTAGAGCCTAAAAATAAAAACAAGAATAACGTTAGTACAACAGAAATAATCAAAGACTCACATTAAAATTCTTGCATGTTTCAATGTAGAGAACAGAAGCAGATTTTGAATATTTAGCACATATTTAAAGGTTTCAGAAAATTAACATGTGATTATTCATAAAACTATATTTCAGCGCATCTCCCGCCTTACTTGCTTAATCTTAGCTACTTTGGGAGCAAACATCTTTAAGTCCTATTTGTTCAGAAGCAATAATTAATCCAACAAAAGACAATGCAGATAACCTGGAGCTACTGAGCATTTGTGATTTGAGATTTTGCTTTAAGTACCAAACTTAGTCAGATTCAGATGTTCAATATGCAAGAATTGATGCGCAATAAGGCAACATCACACAGACACACAAAGACTGTCATTCAGACACTAACAAAAACAGACACAATTGTAATATCCCTGTGACTTTTCTCCTACTTACATACTGCCTGGGGAGAGAGTGAGCGCACAGAGTTACACTGCACTGTCCTGCCTTCTCTGGGGTGAAATGTTGGGGGAGCAGGAAAGCTGTTCAGTGACCATCACATACTTCTATTACTCTCCCCCAGCAACAGTAAAGCTGTGGGTTCTGAGATACAATGTTACATTTTGGCACCTGCTTCCTTCCACTAGCTTGTTGGCTAGGTCGGTAGGTTTGCACAGTGTGAGAGCCGCAATCAAATGGCTCACACACACACACACACACACACATCATCACATCAAACGTGTCACATACCCAGGATATTAGCGTGACAGAACACGATTGCACCTCTCATACCTGCAGCCCTCCCAAACAAGCAAAGATCAGGGTTGGAGTCCCACTCAAAGGGAAGCACCTTCAAAGAGTACTTAAAAAGATGATCACTGATGCAGAGCAGGGGTAAATCAGGAGATGCACAGCTTTTCTTAAATATAGATTTAGATGGTGCACAATTGACAATTTTCTGGAAGCTCTGCTGCCATTTTGTTTTTCACGGACATTCTATAAAAATGGTTCTCTCTATTGCCTTTGTGATACTATCTAGTATTATACAGTTTTTTGTACCACAACTAAATAAGGCACTCACTGTGAATTTCTGCACTGCATTGCCCTTACAATGGAATAGAGTTTGTAAATATTTTTATAATCTTTTTTTATTCACACTTCACCTTATATTTGTTTTAAACAAAGTACAATAAAAAAGTTAAATTTTAGCATTTGCTTGTTCTCACACAGATACATAAATCGCCAGTTTGTCTATTTTGTTTTAGTTTTGTATTTCCATTTGTATTCACTATTTAACCCCTTAAGGGCAGAGCTTCAGAAGCTTGTCTTTCACTTAATGACAACAGCATTTTTTTCATTTTTTGCTGTTTGCGTTCAACTGCAATTTGCATTTTACTAATTTATTGCACCGACACATATTATATATTGTTTTTTTTTAAAGAACAGAAAGGGCTTTAATTTGATGTAAGACACACACATATACATATATACATATATTATAACAAAATATAGAAAAATGCAACAACAACAAAAAAAATAAAATTGTGTTTTTTTTTAGTTTTTGCAATAATGTGTGCATAATTAGTGCAGGTTAAGGAACGTAATTAAAAATAAATTCATTTAGTTTTGATTTACAGAATATATAATGTGTCTGGAATTTAATTTTTTTTGGTAGTTACAGGTCAAAGCCCAAGGAGTAAAATAAACTTTTAAAGGAACATTATAGTCACCTAAATTACTTTAGCTAAATAAAGCAGTTTTAGTGTATAGATCATTCCCCTGCAATTTCACTGCTCAATTCACTGTCATTTAGGAGTTAAATCACGTTGTTTCTATTTATGCAGCCCTAGCCACACCTCCCCTGGCTATGATTGACAGAGCCTGCATGAAAAAAACAAACTGGTTTCACTTTCAAACAGATGTAATTTATCTTAAATAATTGTATCTCAATCTCTAAATTGAACTTTAATCACATACAGGAGGCTCTTGCAGGATCTAACAAGCTATTAATATAGCAGGGGATAAGAAAATCTTAATTAAACAGAACTTGCAAAAAAGAAAGCCTAAATAGGGCTCTCTTTACAGGAAGTGTTTATGGAAGGCTGTGCAAGTCACATGCAGGGAGGTGTGACTAGGGTTTATAAACAAAGGGATTTAACTCCTAAATGGCAGAGAATTGAGCAGTGAGGCTGCAGGGGCATGTTCACCAAAACTGCTTCATTAAGCTAAAGTTGTTCAGGTGACTAGTGTCCCTTTAATGTGGAGCGATTTTAGAATTTGGTATGTTTGTCTTGTAAGCTTAATAGCCATAAAATAAAAAAATTGCCACACAAAAGTATATATTTATATAAAGTAGACATCACAGGCTAGTTACCTAGGGTTGTTTTGACACTTTCTACGTAGCCATTTCACCGCGAACCGCTGCTAAATATTGGAGTAAAATTGTGGGGTTTTTTTGGTTTTTGGCACACAAACTTTTAACAAAGAAATTCTCATGTGTATTTTGTAAAGTTGGTGTGTGCTATTCCTGTACAAAGTTTTATTTTGTGTTCAGTTACATCTGCTGAGTAAAATGACACCCCCATTGTATGTCTTTGGCACTATTTTGTGAAGTTACAGTGCCATATAGGAGGCCTGTTCTTTTCAGTATTCACAGTAGAATTTTGAGAGACTGATTTAATGAGCCTATGCTTCCATTTGGGGTATTATACCAGTTTAACTGTTCAAAAAAAACCCACAAAGGCCTACCATTTGTAAAAGTAGACACTCCAGGGTATCTCATAAGGTGCATATTGTGCCTTAACATGCCCCCATTTTTTCACCAATATATGCTAAAGTATGTGATAAAAAATAATTTTGTGCGTTTTTTACATATGGATTGCATTTTTGCTGGGCATTTTGTATATTTCACATGTGCCACTAAGTTCAAACCCCCCAAATTATGCTCGGTTAAGTCTTCTGAGTAAAAAGACACCCCTGATGAATGTCTTTGTCACTATTTTGTGAAGCTACAGTGCCATATAGGAGACCAAGCCATATCCGTTTTTACCGAACTTTGAATTTTGATGCTGGGCCTATGTGCAATTTCCAAGCATCTTAGCAGGGTTTAAATTCAAACTACCCCACAAAAGCCTACCATTTCTTAAAGTAGACACCCCAGGGTATTTCAAAAGGTATATTTTGAACCTTAGCGTGGGATAATTTTTCCGCTAGCTTGTACCAAGTGTAGTGGTAATAAGTGTTTTTTCTGCCTTTTTGACACACAAAGTGAGTTTGCACAGTATATTTTGCACACCTTATGTGTGCTACGACTGTATAATACTTCATATGTTGCTCAGCTATGTCGTCTGAGTAAAGCAATACCACCGTATGTACCTTTGCCAGGTATATGTGGATGTTGAAGGGGCACATTTGAGACGCAGCCACAGTTTTTTTCTAACTTTGAAGTTTTACGCTGTGTCCATGTTCCAATTTGGAGTAGTTTAGACGGTTGGTTATTGAAACTTTGGGGTAATTTAAAAGGCATATTTTGAACCCTAGCGTGGGATCATTTTTTTCTCTAGTTTGTTCCAGGTGTAGTGGTAATGAGTGTTTTTAAATGTATTTTTTTTACTTTTTGAATCCTTTTTACTTTTAAAAACTAGTTTTTAAACTTTTGTTTTGCTTAATTTTTTTTAAACTTTCCTAAACTTTCTTAACCTTTTATTATTTTTTTTTTATTTTTTTTTTTTTTTACAGATTACACATTTTTCTAAGCTTTTTTTTACCGTTAACCCCTAACTAGCAGTAAGCAGCACTAACAGTAAGTTCCCCATTTTCCCATAACTCCCACCCACCCCAGCTAGCAAGATATATATTTATAAAATATTTAAATTAAATAAATTGAACCCTTGAGGGTTAAAAATTAGATCACAGTATAATACTGTGATCTGTATTTTGATCACTGCAGGCAGTGATCAACTGGCAGGGAAGGGGTTAATTTTTGTTTGGACTGGGTAAAGGGGGGAGTTTTTTTTATTTTTTACTTAAACATTACAAACTTTTTTTTAAGCTTAATTTTTAACGTTAACCCCTAGTTAGCCTAACACCAAATCCCCCAATTCCCCACTAACTTCCACCCACCCCAGCTAGAAGAATTACCCCTCAGGGGTTAAAAAAATAAATAATCAGATGACAGTAAAATGTAATCCCTGCCAATTGATCACTGTAGTCAGGTTAATTTAAAAAAGGGCAAATTTCTATTGAAATCTGCACTTTTTTAAAATTGAAATAGAAAGCTAAAAGTGCTTTAGGGGTCAGGAGTGTTTTTTGTGCCTCAATTCAATTACTGGCATTTCATTGACAAATCTAAACACAGGCGTATGAGTGAAATCACAAAACAATGTCCGCAACCTGTGTTATAAAAAGAACCGTTCATCAGGATATCATGCCTTTTCTGAGTGATTACTCTTATATTTGTTTTTCGCATTCAATGTGACAAAAATACATTACAGTGATTTCCGGAACCAAAGCATAATTCAATATCTGTAGTCAGTGATCAATTGGCAGGGAAGAGGTTAATTTTTAATTAAAATGAGTAAAGGGGGGTGGGATTTTAAATAAACATTTTTTTTTAAATTTTATTTTTTTAAACAGGGGGCAGGATCAGCACTGTTCCGGCTCCCTGCACTTCACACAGAACTAGGAAGTGCAGGGAGGCAGAAGGTAAGTATACTAAGCACATGTGCTCGCTCTGACATCTTGTCAGAGCGAGCACGTGCTGGGGCAGCACGATCGGGTGCTCCCGGTCTGCCTCTAATACAGAGGCAGACAGGAGCACCATTAACCCTGCAATAGCGGCGATCTGGGGTTAATTTTAATGGGTGACGGACGAGATTCATCACTCGTCATTATGGCAATCCCCTGAGTGACTTGTCCGTCACTCGTCAAGGGGTTACTCCCCATTTTTTGTTAAATCTCCAAGTCTCTACACAACTTTGCTCCCCTCTTTTTTGTTTTTTTTCTGAGTACTTGTTAGTCGGGTGTGACATTAAACAATAAAAGCGGAGTTCACTAGTGATGCAGAATACACAATATCTTACACTTGGTAGTAAATTTAAAAACAACTAGTGTTCAGCACTTTTGTGCTGTGAAAAATTGGCCGTTTTGGGTGTGAACAAATGAAAGATCGGTGAGATGCCTAAAGGTTAATTGTAGATGTCATACCGTGAGAATTATAGTCTATAGAGGTAATTTTCTTTTCTGATGAATTGCTTATGACAAAATTTCTCTAAATAGTGAAACTAGTAGTCATGCTGTTTCAGGAGTTTGAATCAAGCTGTACAATTTAGGAGCAAATTATATTTGTAGTAAATTATATATCCACACACACACACACACATAAAAAGATTACAATTCAGAGAGTCATGGGTATTGAAAGGGATACTCCACTTCCAAAATATATAAATGTCTAATAAATACAAATTATGGTTTTGTAGATGTAGCGTGAATTAAAAATACAATTATGCATTTTTTTATTGGGGGCATGTCTAAAATAGCTTGCAAAACCTGTGGATCTCTTGCCTGGAGCCCTTACAAGCACTCAACTTCTAACCTCATCCACTTTCTGTAGCTGTCCAATCAGACTTCCCAATGTAACGCAATGAAGTCTTTGCAAGGCAGGTGTCCTGCCTCTTGAGTTAGGTTCTACTCAGCTATACATCAAGAAAGTAACAGGGCCAGTTGTTTGACAGCTAGGGGGTGTAACAAGGTTAATTTAAAAAAAGGGCCAATTTCTATTGAAATCTGCACTTTTTTAAAAATGGAAATAGAAAGCTAAAAGTGCTTTAGGGGTCAGGAGTGTTTTTTGTGCCTCAATTCAATTACTGGCACTTCATTGACAAATCTAAACACAGGCATATGAGTGAAATCACAAAACAATGTCCGCAACCTGTGTTCTAAAAAGAACTGTTCATCAGGATATCATGCCTTTTCTGAGTGATTACTCTTATCTTATATTTGTTTTTCGCATTCAATGTGACAAAAATACATTACAGTGATTTCCGGAACCAAAGCATCATTCAATATCGCAACAAATACATTTATCAGTCAATGAATAAGCCCAGGGAACTTTGAAGGCCAAACTACATCTCTGAATGTTTACATACACCACCCAGAAAT